CCATGCCCCAACTCCCCAAATCCCTCAGCATGGGGCAATCTATCCATCACCTGAACTCTTTTCCCCATGGTCGGGGAGGTGAGGGGTGTGCTATACTAATAACATGCACACCCAGACTGGGGATGGTACCATGGGCCACATGTTATCACCCCGAGTTGCGCTGTGAACTACTGAGTTTTGGCCTTCCTCCAGTGCGCTGTTGGCCCTGTGAGTAGTGACCATGTTTAAAAATCCCATATATGGGTCTCTTGCCTTGCGCTGCCATACGAGATTCTAAAAGCAAAACGGTGGGGCCACAGCCCTCCAGCAAGGCACTCTGGGATGGCAGCTCATCAGCCCTCTAGCAGCAGTGTGCAACCAGGACATGTTCAGGCATGAACATGTCTCTGTTCCTGACACACGATAACTTTAACATGCAAACCATTGAAGCAGTTGTCACAGCAATTCAAAGTGAACATGTTTAACTAAAGAATTAAATGTAATAGGCATTATTCCTCATCCTATCACTTCATAATCATCTTGGTACGCACATTTTATTAAACAACACACTCTACAGCTAGTCACTGTATGAGACCAAAATGCATGTCCAGTATTAACAAAATGCATAGTATAAAGTTAGATAAAAAATGAGCAGAGAAATCACGATTTTACACATCAACAAGACTGCATTCAAGGAAAAAAAAAAAGGACACAATCTACATGCAGGGTCCCCTACATGGCCATCTTTCCCATCATGTTAGTATACCAGAGTCTGCTTATGAAAATACTTTACACTGGCCTAAATTTTGCAATTATCATCCTTTATTAAGTTATACAAAATGGGCTTTCCAAAGGCAGAGCCTGCTAATACATATTTTATAAATGTAGAACTCTTAAGATTCTATATAGTACCAGGGAGTAAATCATTCAACACTTTAGCTTTGTTGTTTATTTAGAAGTAAAAACTACATTCTTCTAACTGAACATATCCCACTAGAGGGAGCAGGGCTGTTAATTACAGTGCATTTTGCATATCAGATTTGTAGTACCTAACATGAAGCATTTCAAAACAATAACTAATGTTTTTGTAAAACATGGATTTCCAAAATATTACTGTACTGTATCGCGACAGTTCCTAAGGGCCAAAACCCCATTGTTCCAGGCCACATACAATCTATGCCCCCCTGGTCCCCCAAACCTCTCTGTTACAGCTTAAAGATGAAAGACAAATAGATATGAAATTTGAGGAACAAGGGGTGAGTGAAACAGCTGACAGCAAAAATGTGTGACAATCTCAGTACAACAACTATTTAACCATAATTGAGTCGTTTATGAGCATAACAGTATGGATGAAAGGCAGTCATATAGAGGTCTTACAATTTGCTTTGGTGTTTAGATACAGGTAACTCTCTCCAAGGAGTTTCACCATAAACTGCATGCAGTGTAGTACATTAAGTAGAAATATTGAATGTGTTTTCCTTGAAACAGATATTCTGGTAGTTACTCCAGCAAGAATTAACAATTCCAAAAAACACAGAACGTTTCATCTGAATTGATCCAAATGAATTTTTTAATAAATCCAATCCAAGATGGTTGTTTCTTCATCTCTTGAAACAAAACCAAAACAACAGAACAGCTCCTCCCAGCCCCCACAAATTCCTCCTACTAAATAGGAATCTGGAGGTAAAGATAAAAGCAGTCTGAAGTGAATAGCAAGAGGGGAAAACCCACCCTCTCACTAATGCCCATATTTATTTTCTAACTAAAACACAAGAAATAAACCCTGACCCACACAACTACTTGCTACATAATCCACTATCTCTATTTAATGTAGTTAAGGCTCAGAAAGGATCAAACTCAAGAGAAATCAGTTACTGCAAACACTGAATTCCCTCTTTTAGTGTTAATTCTGGATTTTCTTGGATTGAAGTCATTGCAGCTTCATTACTAACTGCATATGTTGTATGCTCCTTTAAGAAGCAAAATGTTTTACTTGGATGGAAAGAAATATTTAAACAAAGGAACACAAGTTGCTAAAACTGCTCTGAATCAGATAACATACCATACATGTACTCATACAATTTAAAACTTGCATGTAAATGATGATACAGATGCACCAATGAATTAGCTGTTTGAGAAGTCTAATCTAATCATATACTGGGTAAATTATGTTATATTTTAAAGGACAAGTTCTACCTGGACACTACGAAACTGTGATAACCTGACTGCAGAAGCAGGTGATGCCAGTTAGTACAGTAATTATCCCATTCATTTATACTGAAAAATTGTGGTTAATAGCAACTAAGTGAAATACATATATTCAAATAACTTTGAAGCCTTTTAAAACTACATATCACAATTTAAAATGGCTTACTTATCAACAGACCATCACAAACTCAAATTCTTAGACGTATTGACCATAATGGCTCAGACGAGAATTCTCCCATTTCAGTCCAAATCACTTTGTGAATAATCTGCCCTTCTGACTCTTCACCTTCAAAGTGCTTGATTCAAGAAATATATTTCTACTGCAGACATAGAAGAATCATTGATAGTCTACTGGATAAAGCAGCATTTCAAGTTAATTTACCTTAATCGGAGTCTTGAAACTTGCGATCAGGAAAATGTTCACCTCCCCATCTTCCCCTCCCCTTGACCTCCCACCCCTAAAAAAAATAAATAAATAAAAAAATTGTGCCCACTCAAAGAAAGTTTGCTGAACAAGAATATGTACACAAGCCACATAAATGGCATTATTACATTATCTTCAAATCAGGAAGTAAAAGTTATGCATAAAAAATAGTCTGTACAAAAATGCTATTAAAAATGTAATCAACTGATGCAAACCTGAAGACAAAGATACTATTTCTGTGTAACAAGTTTATATTGAAACTTTTTCACAGCCATTTTGTGCATTAAATATACTTTTCCTCCCCAATCTAACATATATGACCTTAAAGTCAAATCTGGATTATTGTATACCTCATTACAATGTGCAAGGAAGATCCCCAGGACCTTTTTAAGAGTTTCAGTCTTTATGAAAAGCTGCATCATTCTTGTACTAGAATGCTGATTGGCACACCATTTAAAAGCCTGAGGTTACTTTCATTTGGATCAGGCCTTAGATAGGTTCTACTTTCCAGAAATACAACTGATTTAACAACAGCAAAGTTAATACACCCATGTATTCAATTAAAAAAAATCTACTTAATACATTTATAAAGGAATATTTACAAGGCTCCAGGTAATTTCTTATTTTAATTTTCTTGCTTTCCTGGGTTAAGTTAGATTTATTGTTATTTGAACATTGTTCCCTGTACAGAAACCTTGATAGTTGACCTGTTCAGAGAGTGAGTTTTAAATCGCATCTTGTAGGAAGGAATTTCACTACACAGTGGTTGAGTATTGTTGGGAAACTGAAAAGAGAAGGTACTGATCACATGTTCAACATCAGGAGTAGGGGAGGGAATGCCATTCACATAATTAACATATAGCTAGCCCTATGTATGTGATAGTGAGGCCTCACCTGAAATATGCGGTCTAGTTTTGGGCCCCATACTTCAAACAACAGGCAGATTGGAAAAAGTCCAGAGATTAATAAAAATGATTAGAAGTCTGAAACATGATTAACATGGAAAGACTAAAAGAACTAGAATTATTTAGTCTGGAGAAAGGACTGAGGGCAGATTTGATGTCTTCAAATACCTCAAGGGCAATTATAGAGATGGAGACGGGATATTCTCTGTCACCACAGGGGACAGACTAGGATGGTCTCAAATTGCAGTACGGAAAATTTAGGTTGGATATTAGGAATAATTTTCAAAATACAAAGATGATTAAGCACTGGGACAGGCTACCCAGAGAAGCTGTGGAATCTTCATCCTTGGAAATTTTCAAAGGCAAGTCAGGCAAACACTCGACTGGGATGACTTACGAGATGATCTCACCTTGAGCAGAGGGTTGGATAACAACCTCCTAAGGTCTCTTCCAGCACTGTTTTTCTATTACATGATCAACACTGACAGCAAGTGCCATGATATGGAACAAGAAAAAGACCTTTACACTGGATTAAAGTTTCAGGTACTTGAGCTCCCTGGACTTAAGTACCACCAAATAAACATAGCAGGTATGCACATTTGGAATACATTTTCAGCACAATGCAAAGAAATTTGGGCAAGAGCAATAGAATTATCCTTGCTCATCTTGCTGGTATGTTTAATATATGATACTTACCCCACTCTTTTTTGTTTATTTTTAAAGGCATCAAAGGCAGTTTAGACCACAAGTATAGTATGCAAAGTTTTTACCATCTTCCCCCCCATCGGCATATATTTACAACTCTTAAAGTAAAAGCAATTCTCAATATTAGTTACATAATTAATTTTACGAATTAAGTATTGCCGTGGTGGAAATGTATTCTTATGCCTGCTTATGCAAAGAACCTGTTAGAAAAAGAATCAGAAAAGAAATAATTTAAAAGGAATCCACTCTCAAGTTGAGCTTGCATCTCTCAGTGCACAAATGGTCTCAGTGGAACTAAGGTGAAGTAGTGCAGGTAGCATAGGCTTATAAGTTTCAATTCCTTAAACATAAATAGAAGAATTTTGCTCAAAAGCAATGAAAATAAAAGGCAGGAACATACGCAAAAGCAGTACAAATGAAGTTGTGTGCTTACTCTGTTTAGACTTCGCATACCTGCAGTTCTCTTATTCCTTCACTGTGAAGGCACGCCAAGAGAATTTCTACTTTGTACAACAGTAAGACAATTAACATTTTCATGGAGAGTCAAAAATTAAAATGTATACTGAATAACTTCCGAAATGAACAGTATAACAATTAAGCATGAACTATATACAGCTATTTACACATTCACCTTACCATTAATTCAAAAGAAATGTTTGTGTTCTCTTGAAACACCTTCAGATAGGCAAAGGATATTAATTACATATATTTTCCTTAAATCCCTATAATGTGGGTGATAAAATTCTAACTTCTAAGTACCTTGAATAAGAGGATCTGTGTGCATTTGATAAACTTTAATGAAGCCTCACAACACCCCTGTGAGGTAGGTCTGAAAACTGTTGCCATCTATTACTTCTATTACCAACTTCTGTTTAAATATATGCCAAACATACAATACGAGTGCAGTTATATAACTATTGAACAGCAATGGAGTTTGACTGCAAGAGAAAAGCAACCCTCCCCCTCTCCTCCTTTACACTGCTGTACAGTAACCAAAAAAAGGGCTTAAAAATATGGATCACAATCATTAGGTTTAACACTATTAAAAAAAATAAAACAAAAACAAAACATGCAGCGTAAGAGGAAGTGGATGGGTTAGCTTTTAAGGCTCCACTGCTGTTCAATGTCAGATCATATATGGTAGATTATAAATGTAGAAATTTTATGGTCTTTAAGTCAGCACTACAACTATGTAAAGAGTCTAGGTTCTCCCTATTGGAACCTACAGCCAATACTGGAAGTAAGACAATAAAAGCAAGCGTGCAGTTATGGGGATACTACACTGAGGTTAAGATGAAAATATCAAGTGGCATCTCCTTCATGTGGAAGTGTAAATGAGATGACAATTCACATTCATTAGTAAGTTCATTTATGACTAAGTTCATTTATGACCAGCATTTTTTTTGGGGGGGGGAACACTTGAGGTTCCTTTTAGTCATGCTACTTAAGATAAACATTTAAAGTCCTCAAAACTTGACCACAAGAAAGAGATGGGATAAAATCCTTAATGCATAAAATCTATAGAAATTTAGGTGAAAGAACACAGTACTTTGAACATTCAAGTAAAAAAATTGTGGTGGTGCTCCAAAATTGAACATTTTATATATAGTTAGGTCTGAGATTTTAATTTTTGTTAGACTAGAAAAATACAGAATTGTTCATTCCTAGGTCCAAATAATGTACATAATGTTTTTTGAAAATGTTTTCAGAATAAACTCAGAAACAATTTCTGCTTTGAAGTTATTTGTTCCTCAAACTTTTATATAAATCTCAGTACTGTATAACACTGATCTCTATGTGCATGCATTGTAAATATATGCATGTACACATTTAAAAATATTTATTTAATGGGCAGTGGAGAGTCCCCACCAACCAAATGCCATGATAAAAAGATTTGAGAGACCTTTCTGATACATCTGTATTGTACTTAGGACAACACAGCTGTTAAATGTGAACTTCTGAAGCTGCCTCCATTATCTGGCCCCAAAATCTCTCTCAACATTTCCACTGATTACAATGAAATCACAAACAGATAAAGTTACATAAAAATGAATGCATTAACTGTGATATCATGGCTTCATCATTTAAAGACTAAATGTCCTTTCCTGCTTCATTTAACATACCCCCAAACACAAGGTTGGAGTCTCTCCTGTCTTTATCAAATTCTTAAGTTAAGAAAGAAAGGACTTTCTAAAATGTTGTTGCTTAGTTCTGCAATATCCCTTTAATATACATCTAAGAAGTCAACATGGGAAACTAAGTCCACGAACACATCATGTGCTACTGATAATATTTCAAACCACCCATAATAAATCTCGAATCTTTAAGTTAGTGGTTCTGAACATTTTTCAGAACACCCCTCCCATTTAACAATATAGAAAAGGTAGGGTAGTCATGACCCCCTGAAATCTCACCTGGGGAAATCACACAGGGGTATGATTTATGTCCATGATAGTTTATCCATGGACTGCTATGGGAACAAGATCAGGTAACAGTTCCAGTCCACAGTTTGTGGAACAGTGTGATTTTGGTTTGTTGCGTTTTGATATTCTTAAACCCTTCCCAACCTTAAAATAGGCAAAGTTACTACGCAATTTTGTAGTATCACCAGAAAGTATTCCTATTTCCCTGTAGAGGTTAGAAAACTGCTTTGGAAGATTCCAAATGGGACATTTAGGTACACTTGTTGGTCACTACCTTGGATAAGGGGGAGGAGGTGGACGGGAGAAAAAAAAAAAATCAAGACATATTGCCCCTTTATTAAAAGCTAACAACTGACCCATTATGTTGAACTCTATAATAAATGACTACATACTACCAGCATTAGAAGTGATGGCATAAACCATAAGTTAACACTTTTGTTTGTTTTTAATTACTGTCTCATCCAGCAACTCTTTGGCTGTTTGTTTTTTGTTAAACGCATCTGGTTGCCAACACTGAACCAAATATAAAAAACAATTCATACACCCCATCCCATTTTATCATCTTCCCCAATTGCAAAATCATGTGAGAAACATAAGCAACAGTTGTAAGAGATTTCACTTTATAAAGATGCGGTGTACCAACTGTTTGAAGAAAGTTACAGCTGTACAGAAAATATAAAGAAAAGCAGTTGTGACATGTCAGCAATGTCCACATTAGTACTATTTTGAGCGTACTGAGAATCAGTGTTACTCATTTCCTCCCAAAACATATTTTGATTAACAAACTTGAGGTATAAATATACACAATATGTACAGTACACATACAGGAATATAGTTTTGCATCTGTAACACATCAGTAAATTTTAAAAATACTGGAAAGTCGATACCTATGCCACTGATTTGGTTGCTAATTTACCGGAAGAATGAGGCCAAAATCTTAAACTGGTGAGAACTACCAATGGTATAATAAAATGCAAAGTTAAAATTCCTTCCTCTCACTTCATACTTACCACATGCAACACTATACTGTCCTGAGTGGTTTTATCTTGATTACAGCTTTTAGATCTGTCTTCAGAGGAAACTAATGGGAGACCCAATTGGAGCCTTCAAATTTTCATCTTGGTTTCAAAGCAAAGGGGTAGGGCAGGGAGGTGGGAGACTTAATGTGTGTGAGTGCAGAAATAAAGTTGAAATCAGTTTATTATAAATATTTTATCCATTAATTTTGCAGCTGTCCACGTAACCCTGGCTACTGCACTTTGTTTATGCAATGTCCGTGCAAAGAGGTCATTAAAAATCATCTGATTTTAAGTCTTGACATCATCCATTCAAGTCCTTGGCACAACCTGTAAATAAAAATAAATAATTTAATGCAAACATCTCTCAACTGCAAGTACATTCTTTCATAGTAACTACAGTCATAATTCAAAGCATGAGACAGTGTCTACATGTGTAAAAGTACTGAAACTTGGCACTTCAACCCACACACTGAAAAGTCTACCAATCCTTCACTATGCAATATAGCACTGACCTGGAGGGACCATATCTAGTCAGGTAAGCCCATCAAACCACTATCTATCTTTCTCTGGATTCTTAAGGGTGACAATTCATTTGTGGTTCACATGGTAATTAGAGCACCAGGTCCCAAATTCTGATTCAAATTTATCTATGCAAGTGTTTCTCAACCCTTCCAGATTCAAGACAACCCCCCTCCATAACTTTTACGAGTTTAGCAGCACCCTATTTCAAAAACTAATTTCACTCTTTTTTTTTTTTTTTACTACAAAAAAAATAATAGAGCAATTCTTCTGTTACAAAGAACTCAGAAAGAGCACAACAGGTGAGAATGTTTTTAACAGTATGGATTCTTATTTGAAATCTCTGGGTTTATCTTGTTAATATGCGTCCTTGACACCCCTAAAAGGAGCACATGGCACCCTGGTTGAAAATAACTGATCTATGCAATTTAGAGATATGATAGACTCCAGATCCCATTACCAGTTCTCAGGAAACTACTCGAATTCTTCTTGTTATTCTCTACTAAAAATGGAGATAATGATAAGTGGCAAATTTAACTATAGGGCAAGGACAATACCTTTTTCAACAAAAGTTCTTAGGTTTTGCATTCAGCAATGCAAGAAAAAAACCCGTATTATACCGCCTAGGTATGCTAAGGGATCATGTGTCCAATAACTGCCTGTACTTACTCTAAATACCACAGTACTATAGTACCTGATTTGATAAGGAGCATCAAAAAATTATTTAAGAACTCTTACCCCTCGCCAGTTAGAGCACAGCAGGCCTGGATGTGCCACTGGTGATCTTTAATTGAAGTCAGCTTCAGAAACTGGGATATTTCAGCTACTGTCATGCACTCCTTCACATCTTGTTTGTTAGCAAAAATCAGCAAACCTGCTTTCTTTAAGTCCTAGGAACAGAAAGAATAATAATCTTTCAAACAGAAGTTATTTTTTTCTCTATTGTTTCATAGCCAAATCATTTCTGATTTTAAACGTGATAGATACATTGCTCAGTTAAGAGCTAAGGGCAGTAACAATTTATTTGAGCATTACAGCAGCAATACCAACTGAAATGCAAAGAAAATTTTGGGTTAAAATGCTCACCCCTCCACTAACAGTGGTATTTAGTTTTAAATACCAGAGATGTTATATATCATTCATAATGTAATGGATCACCTAATTATCCATTCATAATTGCCTTATTTTGCTGACCATAACTTGTGTCAAACCAAATGTTTCAAAATACACTTGGCAAGCAATTTGATATTGTAATTCAGGTACAATCAAAAGGTGGAGTCAATGTTAACCCTCTCAGTCATTAAGGAGTGGGCATTAACTATTAGCTGCTACAAATATTAGCTGCTGCCTTGGCTGCAGCCAAAAGCTGCTTCCAATACCTTAGCAGCTCTGAGAGAATTAACACTAGTCTGTGCCTGAAGTCGCAACTGCATTGGTTCACAGTAGGTGAGCTGCTGCATGCAATCCATATGTTGATAAAGACTATGACATGGAAAAAGCGCTTCATTATTTATAGGAACTTATATAAAGAAGTAAACAAGTAATAGTTTTGCTACTGCTCTTACAGGGTCTGAGGCCTTGATGCTGTCCTGCCACACCAAGACGTTCCTGCTACGCCACTCAGACTGTTTCCTAGGATGCTACACTTTCTAGACATTTAGTCACAGAACCGGCCATGACTCAGGGAAAAATACAAACATACTTTTTCCTACATTGTCCTCAAAAAGCCACATGGCACATCTTGTTTGGTGATGTGTGGTATGCAAGAAAATATGGTAAGTTTCTTTTCCTCTAATCCAGTCAGAGCAGCTCACCCTTACTGACAGATGACTGAATTTTTGCAGCTATAAACTGGAGATTTCAGCATTTATTAGGTCTGTGCGAAGCTTCAGTAGCCTATTCGATTTGGAGATCTGGCAGCTGAATCTCCAAATCCGAATTGAATCGGGAGACCCATTAATAGGTCCAAATCAAATTAGAAGCGTTTGAATCAATTTGGAAAAGATTTGGAGATTTGGAAGCCAGGCTTGCAGGATACAGAAACTGAGAAGAGGTAGGAGGAAGTTGGGGGGGGGACGGG